ATATATATATATATATATATATATATATATATATATTATATGTCATTGGGCTAAAAAATTTTCCTGCCATTCAAAGACACTTTCAATTAAAAGAAGAGAAAAACGATCTCAATCTTGACATAAAGAGAGAATTGAAAAGAGACTTACATTCTCAGGTAAGTTCTTCGCAATAGCACTGTGTGGCATTGGTTCAATGCACAGCAAGTGAGTAATCTCCCTCATTGTGACCTCTTCTTTGGTCACATTTCCCACTCCAGGTACATAACGCTCTCCTGATAAATACAATGAAAAAAGAATAGAAGAATTAATTAGTTTCTATTTGAATCTCGACTAGGTCTACTTACACTCAGAACGTGACATTAATTATTAATTATCATCTAATCTATTAGAAACAGGCCAAAAATTATTTTAGGTATTCCCCAAATCTGAGTAATAATCTACTTGTTGAAGTACAGAGGGAGAGAAATGAATGGTCAGTTTTAACTCACACATGAATACACATACATAGAACTACACACTCTTTACATTATATATAAGGCCCTTCAAAGTAGCATGTGATTCCAATCCAGAAAATAAGATAGCTGGCATGGGAATGAGCACTGGCTATCAATGAATAGCTTTGCTTTCAAAAATCTCCTTAATTGTCTGCCTGTCTTGTCTGTTTGTATGCCTGTCTCTCTCTCAACAGTACTAGAATTTGAAAACAAGAAAAAGGTAAAAGGATATTGATTCCAAAAAGGTTAATAATAGTAATAATGCAAACATAATGAATGCCATTAATGAAGAACTGTGAGTCAAAATGAGCTATTACTTTTCACCTATAAGGTCAACAAGTGTCAAAGATACCATGCCATTACTGATACATAAGCATTAAGAGATTTAAACACAAGTAACTTATTTTTTTTCCTCTCTTTTTTTCTTGAAGATACTGGAGTCTGATCTGGGGGCCTCAGGCTTGCTAGGCAGGTGTGCTAATACTTGAATATGCCTCCAGCCCCTACTATTAATTTTTCTAAGGCCGATTTGTTAGTATATACTAAAAGCTATGGGATAGATGATGGGAATAGCTGGGGCAACTGGAAAAATTAACAGTCTATATATGTGTAAATACACACTCACTTGTGCAAGGAGTGCTTATATTAATTTCAGCTGAATAGAAAACATATATGTAAAGGCCAACACCCTAACAATTCGATAATCATTTCTGCCAGTGAACATTTCTTTTTCTCTTCCACAACTAACTTTAGTGAAGCTAATTTGCACAGTAATTTGACAGAATAACAAAATGAAGATATATATATATATGTTTTGTTTTTTTTGGTCCAGTTGTGGGGCCTGAACTCTGGGTTTGGGCGCGGTCCCTCAGCTCTTCAGCTCAAGGCTAGTGCTCTACCAGTTGAGCCAGAGCGCCACTTCCGGCTTTTTTTTTTTTCTGCTTATGTGGTACTGAGGAATCAAACCTAGGGCCTCATGCATGCAAGGCAAGCGCTCTACCACTGAGCCACCTTCCCAGCCCCATGAAGACATTTTTATGTGTATTTATGCTATGTTTAAATTTCCTGTACATATGTAACTTTTAGAACTACTTAAATAAGGTTTTTTTAAAATTGACGTTTCTTACCATGATAATTATACCATACTTTGCTAAATTCCAAAGTTACAAACTAGATTAAAAAAAGAAAAAATACAAAGGTGCTAGGCGCCGGTGGCTCACACCTGTAATCCTAGCTACTCAGGAGACTGAGCTCTGAGGACCCATGGTTCAAAGCCAGCTCAGGCAAGGGAACTATGGGACTCTTATCTCAAAATAATCACCAGAAAACCAAAGTGGTGCTGTGGCTCAAGTGGTGAAACGTTTGTCTTGAGCTGAAGAGCTGAGGGGCAGCACTCAAGCCCAGAGTTCAAGCCCATGACCGACCAAAAAAAAAAAAAAAGGTGTCTGAAGATGTATTTCAGTTGTTAAAAAAAAAAAAAACTTTCTTGGCTGCATAAGGACCTGGGTTTGGTTTCCAGCACAACGTAGAATGAGAAAGAACGTACAATTTGCCAGACGCTGGTGGCTCACTCCTGTAATCCTAGTTACTCAGGAGGCCGAGATCTGAAGATCACAGTTCAAAGCCAGCCCAGGCAGGAGAGTCTGTGAGACTCTTATCTCCAATAAATCACTCAGAAAACCGAAAGTAGCATTGTGGCTCAAGTGGTAGAGCATTTGTCTTGAACTGAAGAGCTGAAGCACAGCACCCAGGCCCAGAGTTCAAACCCACAACTGACTAAAAACAAAAAAAGAATGTACAATTTACAGGCTTTTTAAAAGGTGGGGTTTTCCAAATCTATCAGTCACACCTGCTACATAAGTCTCTAATATCCCATGTAGTGTTTGGAATAGGGTAAAATAATCCATTACAGCTTTGTTAACATTCTCTGAAAAGCAGCCCACATTTGATTTCAAGATGTTTTGCTTTAATCTTACCCACAATGTAGATGAGGACCTGAAGCATTTCTTCTATTAAAGTATTATACTGCTTAATCAAATCCTATAGAATTAAAAAAAGAGAGAGATTAGTTACATAAGAATCTAAAACCTGCATTTCTGCATCAGCCTCTGGTCCATCCAGTCTAGTATTTTCTTCAGCACACAGCAATAGGTAGTGAGAAGTTACAAGTTCTGGGTCCTGATCTCTGGCCCTGGGTGCTGGCTGTCCTTCAGCTCTTTAGCTCAAGGCTAACACTCTACCACTTGAGCCACAGTGCTAGTTCCTGCTTTTTCTGCTTATGTGGTGCTGAAGAATTGAACCCAGGGCCTCATGCATGCAAGGCAAGCACTCTACTACTGAGCTACCTTCTCAGCCCCTCAACAAACTAATTCTAATCTTTAACTCTTCCTTTTTACTAGGTTACTGAGGAAAATGTCTTCAAAAGATATCCAAATTATTGGGAGAATACCTTTCCCTAATACATTCATCACCATTATAATCATTATTATTTTAGTAGCACTTGAGTTTCAACTCAAAGCCTTACAATATTTTTTTACAAGGCAGGTGCTCTAGCACTTGAGCCACATACCAGGCCTTTTTGCTTTAATTATTTTTTAGGTAGTAGAACCTATACAGAGGCCCAACTGTAAACATAAATAAACTTTTTAAATGTTTAAAATAGTAATGGTATCATTTCCTCTGGAATTAGTTCACATGCCAATTTCTGTTGTTTTACCTGGTCTTTTGTGGAAATAGTCTTGGTAAAAGCATCAGCAAGTTCATACCTCTGAAGTATAAGTAATAAAAACTTGTTGGGATCCATTAAAGATGCTCCAATCTGTAAAAGAACCTTGTGTCACATTTCTGTATATTAAGTGGAAAAACACTGTTTCTAGTTGCCCTATTAGAAAATTAAAAGTTTGCAAAAAAAAATAAAAAGTAGTATAATGCACTATTTCTATGCTGTTCATTTTCATGAAAACAATTCAAGTGAAGTTGACAACAATTATTCTATTTTCTCATTTCTTTTTTTTTTTTTTGGGTCCGGTCATGGGGCCTGAACTCTGGGCCTGGGCGCTGTCCCTCAGCAATTCAGCTCGAGGCGAGCGCTCTACCACTTGAGCCATAGCACCACGTCCGGCTTTTTCTGCTTATGTGGTGCTGAGGAATTGAACCCAGGGCCTCATGCATGCAAGGCAAGTGCTCTACCACTGAGCCACCTTCCCAGCCCTTATTTTCTCATTTCTTATTCCAAGGAATATAAGAAAGTGAAGGTATAAATATAAAAGTAATTTTCACAGCTACCTGAAGCATGATGATATCTTTATCATACATTTCTTCTCTGCACTTAACATCTTGGTAATAAAACACCTATAAAATAAAAGATAGATGCCAAAAGAATTATTTTATTTCAAACAAAATTCTCAACAAAAGCTATTCTTAAAACTTTCTATCACTTGCCAGGTGCCAATGGTTCATGCCTGTGATCCTAGCTACTCAGAAGAATGAGATCTGAGGATCATAGTTCAAAGTTAGGTGGGTAGGAAAGTCCATGGGATTCTTTTTTTTTTTTTCAGTATTTCTTTTTGCTTATGTGGTGCTGAGGAATCGAACCCAGGGCCTCTGGCATGCAAGGCAAGCGCTCTACCACTGAGCCACCTTCCCAGCCCGTCCATGGGATTCTTATTTCTAATTAATCACCCCAAAAAAGGCTGGAAGTGGAGCTGTGACTCAAGTGGTAGAATGCCAGCCTTGAGCAAAAAAGGTCAGGAGCAGCACCCAGGCCCTGACTTTAAGCTTCAGTACCAACACAAACAACAATTTTAAATAAACAAATAAAAACCCTTTTCTATCACTTTAAACCCTTGGCACCCCTTACAAACAAAAATTAACTATATAAATCTATAAATCAAGAGGTTTGGAGGGATAAAATGAGGAAATATGAAAATGATTCACAGTTGAAAATGCTCTGAATTAATTATCTCCAAATTCTCCATATATATAACAACAAAAATTTATTTTTACCTAAGTTTAAAAATATCTGCTTGAGGGCTAGGAAGGTGGTTCAGTGGTAGCATGCTTGCTTTGCATGTATGAGGCCCTGGGTTCGATTCCTCAGCACCACATAAGCAGAAAAAGCCAGAAGTGGTGCTGTCACTCAAATGGTAAAGTACTAGCCTTGAGCTTAAGAGCTCAGGGACAGAACCCAAGCCCAGAGTTCAGGTCCCAAGACCGACAAAAACAAAACCTGCTTGAATAAAAGCAAACCAATTTCTAGTCTTAAACATAGTATCCTTTTTTCCTCCAGTGGTACCTTTACAAGTTCTATTTCCCTCTTTGTGAGGAAAATACTTCTCCCTATTGTTTAAAACAGAAGAAAAATTATAAGGCAGCCATTGAATTTGTTTTGCAGTAGTGGGACTCAAACTTACACAGGGAAAGGTTTTACTGTTGAGCTACATCTCTGTCCTTTGATTAAGACAGCTGGTAGGAAGACCAAATGTCTTACCAATAAAGTAATCGTCAGAAAAGAGCTATGATAAAGGGAGATTTCTGTGAAACTACCAGCTTTCTACTACTTAAGTCTATGCAAGGATCCCTGTTTCTTATAACTCAAATAGAATAAGCATCTGCATGACCTCGAGAATTTCTACTTCAAAGAGTTTATGGCTTGAGGCATGGCTCCATTTTTGAATGACTGGCTGGTAAGCAAGAGGCCCAGAGTTTAAACCCCAGTACTTCAACTCCCTATAAAAATAAATAAATAAAAATTTAAAAAATAAAAAGTTTATATAATTAAAGGGATTTGTTTGGGGTAAAATTATAAATAAGCCAGGTGGTATGAGAGGCTAGGTAAAGGATTACCAGTTTGAGGGCAATCCTGGGTACAGAGTTTAAGACCAGCCTGAAACTTGTGCCAAAAAGAAGAAAAAGGTGGGAAGGGGGCAAAAACAGAAAGAACGAAGAGAAAGGGAGGGAGAGAGAGATAGAGAGAGAGAGAGAGAGAGAGAGAGAGAGAGAGAGCGAGAGAGAGACAAAGAAAGAAAGAGAGAGAGAAAGATAAAGAGATGACAGAGAGAGAAGGAAAGGAGGGAGGGAGGAAGGGAAGCAGAGATATAAGGAAAGGAAAAAAAAGGAACAAAGAATAAAAATAAACACACTCAGTCCAGATAATACACCTTATCGTACCTGGCTAATGAGGGAGAGTCCATTTCTTCGCCACATCTCAGCAACAACTTGGGCGACCAACACCAGACAACGCAGAGGATATTCCACTAGTATCTCTACTTGAAAGTCCTCCTGAAACAGATTGAAGTCCATTTCAAATGCCTGATCTTCAGTTTTCTAATCTATCAATGAAAGGGCTTAAACTAGATGATTTCCAAGTCCTTGTGATTTCAATGTGATAATATATAGTTATAAAATTACAATTAATGAGAATTACTACTCAGTTGGTAAGATATTCCCATTACCTTTCCCACCAATCAACTAAGGGGTGATTAGAAGTAGAATATAAACAAATTGATACTTAATAGTCACTTACAAAAGGCACAAATTCATGCAGTCTTGAAACAGCACCTAGCCGGCTTAAGCGCACATGAAGACCTGGTTGTTTTTAAGAAGAAATAAAAAACAAGAAAGCATTTAAACCCAGTTAATTTGTTTACTAGTTATCTAGTTTTTCACTAGTTATTTACTAGTTAATTTATACATTATAAAATGTATGTGTACCAGGTCTAGCAGTATAGCTCTGTGGTAGAGTGCTTTATCTAGCATACATGAGGTCCTAAGTTAAATCTTCATCACACAGACACACAGTCAGTCAGACAGACAGACATACACACATATTTGCTGAATTTAGAAATGATATTTTAAACTAAAATTTTCTTACGCCTTGTTTGAAACACATTATTACCAAAAGAACACTTACAATTCTGTAATTGTGTATTGTGTGCTCATACATTATCTAAAACTAACATGAAATTAAAACAGAACCAATATAAAACTATCTGGTGTCATTTACATCATATACAAAAACTAACTCAAATGAATCAAAACGTCTAAATACAGGACCTTAACACTATAAAAACAGAAGAAAACATATTGCAAAGTGGGTAGATAGGATTACAGGTGAGCTACTAGTGCCTGGCTGGTGTCAGTTTTTGAAAAGGACAAAAATAATGGCAGTCCTGAATCAGTGTCTGATCTGAGCTGTGTCTGCACACACTGAGCGCAGAACAAAAAGGAGAATTGAAAAAAAAAAAAAAGAGAGAATTGTTTTACTACTCTAAACATCTGGAAAACAAAGTTGTAAGAAATATGCCAAAACCAAAAATAATCACTCACCAGCAAGAGTCCTAGAAAGTGGCAGATGTATGCTCACAAGATCCTCAGACACTCTGTAGGACTTGGTTTCCAGAGTATGACCACACAATTGTACTACTGTCTTGCTGCTAGATAAGAAATTTGTACTGCACCTCATCACAGCTTTGTGGCATTCCTTATAAGCCACTAGTAAGAGTTCTTCCTTAAGGGAAAATGAAAATACAAATACGATTGACAAGTTAGATACTTTACCACTAATTAAATAAGTATTTATTAAATAGGAGTAAAATTTTCTAATTTATTACTAAGACTATAAGTTATGCATAAAAAAAATTTGGGGGGCTGGGAAGGTGGCTCAGTGGTAGAGCGCTTGCCTTGCATGCCTGAGACCCTGGGTTCCATTCCTCAGCACCACATAAGCAAAAAAAAAGAAAAAAGCCAGAAGTGGTGCTGTGGCTCAAGTGATAGAGCGCTAGCCTTGAGCTGAAGAGCTGAGGGACAGCGCCAAGGCCCAGAGTTCAGGCCCCATGACCGGACCCCCAAAAAAAGAGTCTCATGGAGGGACTGGGAAGCGCTCTACCACTGAGCCACCTTCCCAGCCCCCCAAAATTTTTTGGTAGTATTGAGCCTTGTACTTGGTAGACAAGCATTGTACCACTTAAACTACACATGCTGGCCTTTTTTATTTTTTCAGATATAGTCTAGTAGAAGAATGGGAAAACACATGCAGAGATAAATGAGGATGTAAATTCCAGAAAAGAGGTTATTAAATTGTAATCAAGGGCCTAGTTAGAGGCATAGACTTTAGAAAGACAAAAAAAGTAGGCAAAACCAGGCTTTAGCAGCTCACATCTATAATCCTAGTTAATAAGTAGACTGAGATCTTTCAAGTAAGATTTGGAGCCAGCCACTCTTATGATCAAGAAGCAGGACACTGGTGGCACACACCTGTAATCCTAGTTACTCAGAAGGCTGAGATCTGAGGATGACAGTTTGAAGCCAGCCAGGACGGGAAGGCCCAAGAGACTCTTATCTCCAATAAACTACCCAAAAAAAAAAAAAAAAACCCAAAAAACAAACTAGAAGTGGAGCTGTGGTTCAAGTGGTAGAGTGCTAGTCTTGAACAAAAAGCAGCACAGGAACAATGTCCAGGTTCTGAGTTCAAGCACCAGGACTGGCACAAAACAAAACAAAAAACAGCAAAAAGCTGGAAGTAGAAATGTGCCTCATGTATATAGCACCATCCTTGGGGTGGGGCACAGGGAGGAGAAAAAAAGCTCCAAGATCAGTTAAACAAAAAAAGAAAAGGCAGGGGAAAGATGGTGAACACACAAACTAACTCTGTCAGTAGACAGATTATGAGGACAGGATATAAAAGCCAGAAAAGGTAAAGCATTTGATTCATATCAAGTCAATTTTCTTAGAAATAAATCAGTTTACTTTTCCAAAGGGAAGCTGGGTTTTATAGTTGGAGTTTACAGAGAGCTATGAGCTAAAAACATTGCTTACAAAAATACATTGGTAGCTGGGCGCCGGTGGCTCATGCCTGTCATCCAAGCTACTCAGGAGGCTGAGATTTGAGGATCGAGGTTCAATGTCAGCCCTGGCAGGATGTCCGTGAGACTCTTTTTGTTGTTGTTGTTTTGTTTTTTTTGGGTCCGGTCGTGGGGCCTGGGTGCTGTCCCTCAGCTCTTCAGCTCAAGGCTAGCGCTCTACCACTTGAGCCACAGCGCCACTTCCCGTTTTTTTTTTCTTTTTGGTTATGTGGTGCTGAGGAATCGAACCCAGGGCCTCATGCATGCAAGGCAAGCGCTCTACCACTGAGCCACCTTCCCAGCCCGACCATGAGACTCTTATCTCCAATAAACCACTCAAAAACCGGAAGGGGCGCTGTGGCTTAAGTGCTAGAGCACTAGCCTTGAGCTGAAGAGCTGAGGGACAGCGCTCAGGCCCAGAGTTCAAGCCCCATGACCAACCAAAAAAAAAAAAAATACACTGGTTCTATATTCTTAAATTAGTTTCTAAATAGTTTGCTTACAGTAATCCTCTTGATTATATAACCAAACTTTCTCCATTCTTGAAGTATTTAAAAGTCAAATAGTACTAACAGTCATTTTCAAATAAATAAATGTATATAAAATAACAATACAGACACATATTTTAGAAGTGTGGTAGTGAGGTTTTAGCTCAGGGCCTTATGCCTGCTAAACTGGAGCTACCACTCAAACCATGCCTCTAGCCCTATTTTATGCTGGTTTTTTTTTTTTTTGGGTCCGTCGTGGGGCCTGAACTCTGGGCCTGGGCACTGTCCCTCAGCTCTTCGGCTCAAAGTTAGTGCTCTACCACTTGAGAGCTACAGCACTGGCTTTTTTAATTTTCCCCCTGCTTATGTGGTGCTGAGGAATGAACCCAGGGCCTCATGCATGCAAGGCAAGCACTGTACCACTGAGCCACCTTCCCAGCCCTGCTGGTTATTTTTGAGATAGGGTTTTCACTTCTTGCCACCACATGCTCCTGAGCTGCAACTTTCCTTCCTACTTTAGGCTTCCCAATTCATTGCAAATTCATCCTTCCTTTGTGGAGCTGAAGTCTTTTGGACTTTTCTGCCTTGGCTGTCCTAGAACCATGATCCTTCCAATCCTATCCTCCTACATAGCTTGGAAAAATAGGTGTGTGTCACTGCAACCAGTTATGGGTTGAAAAGAGATCTCTCAAACGTTTCTGCCCACATTGACCTTGAACAGCGATTTTTCCATCCATCCCCTTCCAAGTAGTGTAGTATTGAAAGTATGAGCCACAGGCGTCCAGCTAAAAGTATATTTTTTAACCTGGAAATTTTCCCAAATAAGCAAAACTAGCCTGGGACATCTTTATCCAACAAGGATAAAACACTGTATTTTCCCCCTAAATTTAATAAGACAAATTAAAATATTTACTATTATTTAAGTAATATATATTTACATCAAAGAAGCTACAAAAAACTATAATATTAAATAGTTAGTATAGTACTTAAAAAACTCTGCTCTTCCTAACACGGCTTTAACTTACATCACAAGCACACCACTCCTGAAACATGAGTAAAATGTTCTTTAATTGCATCTGTATAGCAATAGCAGCCTCCCAGTCAGGGTCCACTTCTATGTGCTGCCCGATCTGTCGTCTGATTTCTTCCATTCCCTGCAAGAAAAGATTAATCAAACTATGGCCTTTCTTTGCTCCCTGAGTCACTATTTTAACATTGTTATTAAGCTAGGTTAGAATCCATGAGTTCAAATGCCTGCTCTCTTTGGGATTTCTTAGCTATACAAGCCCCCATTCCTTTATATGTAATGTGAGAGTAATAAGTAAATCATATGACTGTTATAAATTTAAAATGGACAATACATGGAGTGATTACTATAAAGCTACCATATGGTAAGTATTTGATAAGCATTACTATAATAGCAGTAAACTAAGACATAAAGAAAAATCTGCTGAAGGAGGATCAATGAGTTAGTGCTGACATCTCATTTCTACTTTGCTACATAAAATTTCCTCTTAGGAAATCCACAACTTGCTAAGAAAGAAGAAGACGAAAAAAAATGAAGACTATACTTCAGTCTTTTGAAGGGATTATATTTTCATTTATTTATTTATTTATTTATTTATTTTTGGGTCCGGTCATAGGGCCTCAACTCTGGGCCTGGGCGCTGTCTCTAGCTCTTCAGCTCAAGGCTAACGCTCTACCACTTGAGCCACAGTGCCACTTCCGGCTTTTATTCTTTTTGCTTATATGGTGCTGAGGAATCGAACCCAGGGCCTCATGCATGCAAGGCAAGCGCTCTACCACTGAGCCACCTTCCTAGCCCCTTGAAGGGATTATATTTTTAACAATATTCTTCTTATTGGTTTACAGAATTATTATACCTGCATACAGGTAAGAATCTTCAAAAAAGATCGAAATCCTTCCAGGAACTGCATTCTTAATTTTTCTGTCCATATTGTGGGTTTGCTGATCAGGATATACCTATCAATTTCAAGAAGAAATATTTCATTTCTTTATTTTGAGATAATTTCTCAAGTTTCTTGGTTTATATACAATGTTCACTTATTAAAATTGTGCATTCCAATTTTTTAACTAGAAGCTCTAGACAGAGCTAGAATTATTTATTTTGCTTTATTTTACATACAACTAACAAATTATAGAAATGCTCTATAAAGGAAAGATCAAAACTAAACCTGACTTCCACAGAGTTTAATCTGAATAAATAAACACTGACCCAAGTTAGCCCAGCCTGTCACAGACAATTTGGTATGAACACAGTACACATCTCATAGGACTCATCACAGAGAGCATCCAAAGGACCAGTGGAAATCCGTTCAGGCTTAGGAGATTTGAATCAGTTTCCTACTCCCAGATTTTTTTTTTTTGGTCCAGTCGTAGGGCCTAAACTCTGGGCCTGGGCGCTGTCCCTCAGCTCTTCAGCTCAAGGCTAGCGCTCTACCACTTGAGCCACTTCCGGTTTTTTTTCTTTTTGCTTATGTGGTGCTGAGGAATCGAACCCAGGGCCTCATGCATGCAAGGCAAGTACTCTACCACTGAGCCACCTTCCCAGCCCCTACACCCAGATTTTTGAGAGATAAACTCATTTTAGCTACAATTTAGCAAGAACAATGTTTTTGGTAGGCTGAAAATATTGCAATAGGCCAATATGAACAATGTTTATAATGGAATAACTTCTCAGGATGCAATCATTAACAATTATTATTTTAGCTGGGTGCCAGTGGCTCACACCTGTAATCCTAGCTTCTCAAGAAGCTGAGATCTGAGGATTGTGGTTCAAAGCCAATTCAGCAGGAAAGTCTAAGAGACTCTTATCTCTAATTAACGACCAAAAAGCTGGAAGTGTAGTTGTGGCTCAAATAGTAGAGTGTGAGTCTTGAGTGCAAAAGCAAAGTTTGAACCCTAGTACTAGCATACACATGTGTGTGCACGCACGTGCTTGCACACTTGCACACACACAAGCTCTCATTGAAGGCATTTGCAGATAACCTTTGGTATTAGGGGAGTGAAAATTCTACCACCTCTCCTTGAGATATACAAAATGGCAAAGTATTTGTATACAGCCTGTGAACATCCTTCTGTTACCTAAAATCATCTCCAGATAATTTAATATCTAAAACAATATAAATGCCATGTTAATAGTTGTTACCTGGGGCTGGGAAGGTGGCTCAGTGGTAGAGCGCTTGCCTTGCATGCATGAGGCCCTGGGTTCGATTCCTCAGCACCACATAAGCAAAAAGAAAAAAGCCAGAAGTGGCACTATGGTTCAAGTGGCAGAGCGCTAGCCTTGAGCTGAAGACACAACACAGTACCAGACCCAGAGTTCAGGCCCCACGACCAGACTCAAAAAAAAAAAAGTTGTTACCTATAGTGTTTTTAGGACTAAGAACAAGAAAAAAAATCTACACATGTTCAATATAAACTAAGTTATTTAAGCCGGGCACCAGTGGCTCACGCCTGTAATCCTAGCTACTCAGGAAGCTGAGATCTGAGGATCACAGTTCAAAGCCAGCCCAGGCAGGAAAGTCGGTGAAACTCTTATCTCCAATTTACCAGAAAACCAGAAGTGGGGCTCTAGCTCAAAGGGTAGAGTGCTAGCCTTGAGCTGAAGAGCTGAGGGACAGCGCTCAGGCCCAGAGTTCAAGCCTCACAACCGACAAAAAAAAAAAAAAGAAAACAAGAAAATTATCTACACATGTTGAATATAAACTAAGGTATTTTAGCCGGACACTGATCGCTCACATGTGTAACCCTAGCTACTCAGGAGGCTGAGATCTGAGGATGGCAGTTCAAAGCCAGCCCAGGCAGAAAAGTCCATGAGATTCTTATCTCCAATAAACTACTCAGAAAAAACTAGAAGTGGTGTTATGGTTCAATTGGCAGAGCACTACACTTGAGCAAAAGAAGCTCAAGGATAGTGCCCAGGCCCTGAGTTCAAGCCCCAGGACTGGCAATAAAGAACCAAATAAACCTAAGATATTTTTCAAATATTTTCAATCGATTGTTGGTTTAATCCATAGATGTAGGACTCCTGGGATACAGACAGACAACTGTGTTATATGATGCAGTCACTGTTATTTGTCCTTGCCATCATTTGCAAGGAGAATCCTAGATAACCACAAGAATCAGCGTTTAGGGTCATAAGGCAGAGCAAATAAGCACACAATATGTTTACAGGTGCCCTCACCTTTTGATGGGAACAACTTACTTTAGGTCACATATTACTGCATATACTCTTCCCAGTTTGTCTTGGCTATAACCCTGGAAGTTGAATTTATTGTTCCTGTCCAAGTATTCAGGTAAAACTTCCAGCAGAGTTTCAGTAATGACAGAAATAACATTCTGTTCTTCAATAAGATGTCGAGCCTGAAGAATATTTTAAGAATACTGTCTTTAGCATTAATTCACCATGGCATGGACTGAATTTATTTATCCATTTGTATGGTTGGTCAGTAGTTTTTTTTTGTTTGTTTGAGGCTAAGTCTCAGTATGCCTCAGCCTCCCAAGTGCTGGAATTAAAGGCATGAGATACCAACCTCCTATGCTCAGCAATAAATGTTTTAATAAATATCCATATTGGGCATGAAAAACAATCCTAGTTTTAGAGAGTATCTATTACTGAGAAGTTAGTTTTTAAAAATAGAAGTCTCAAGCTGGGCGCCGGCGACTCATGCCTGTAATTCTAGCTACTCAGGAGGCTGAGATCTAAGGATCACAGTTCAAAGCCAGCCTAGATAGGAACCAATAAACCACTCAAAAAACCAGAAGTGGCGCTGTGGCTCAAGTGGTAGAGCACTCGCCTTGAGCTGAAGAGCTGAGGGACAGCGCCCAGGCCCAGAGTTCAAGCCTCGTGACTGACAATCAATCAATCAATCAATAAAATAAAAATATAAGTCTCCTACCCTTATTAACTAAAAAATACCTATCTAGATTCTTTAAGCCCATTTTACAGGTCATCTTGATAAATATGTGTCATTAGTAATCATAAGAAGAGCACATCAAAGATCTCCTTCTCAATTTCTATCATATTAACCCTATTCTGGCATCCATCTCCCACCCTCACTTAATTTCTTTTCCCCATTGTCTTCTCTGGCCCTTTGAAAAGGCTAAAGTAGGCATAGTCAACTAAAGTGCCCAGAAAAAAAATCAGGTGCAGAAGTTCTACAAAAAGGAAGCCGGATGCTCCATTCTCTTCCCAGGCCTCAGCACCATCGCACAGCAGTGCCTGATGGGCGCACACTCAGTCTTCTTGGTTTTTCCTTACTGTATATCTATGTCAAACAATAACTACAAGTTTTGTTTTTTGTTTTTTAAGAAATGGTATTGAAAGGCAGTGCTCCTTTTCAATGCTACATCATATAGTAACTCTGGAATTACTACAGTGAGAAATCTGCTACGGATGTCACCTCTAGGGGAGGGGCAAAGGGCAGGACCCAGACCCACTCGCTTGGTCCTTAGATGCCACAAAGGTTATCATTCACACGCAGATGCCATTGAGTATCAAACTGCACAAATAAAATTAATACAACTTAGTAGTTTTGACATTGTTTTGATTCGGCATTAAGTAAAATTCTCATGAAGCAAAAACATTTAGAAAGACCGCAAAGCGCTATCATACATACCAGAGTAGGAACAGTAAACATCTGAACTGACAGTGCAGTTATAGAGATACTCCTGTCATGATCATCACTGATGTACTCCTTCTGCAGTTGCTTATAATACTGAAAGACAGAAGTGGAGATTCTATTACATATCACTACTAACACCTTCTCAATTTTAGTAACATTTGCAAGCATAAATCTATTCATAAGATGACAAGTATAATATTGCTCCTATTTATCAGGGAAAGATATCACAGTCAAAATAAAAATCTGAGAGAACAAAAAATTAGTTGAGTTCAACTAAAGTTAGGCAATGTCAAAAGAACTGTTGAAAACAAAACAGAACAGAAAAACCCATAGATAAAAACCAGAGGAGTTGCCGGGGAGCCGGTGGCTCACGCCTGTAATCCTAGCTACTCAGGAGGCTGAGATCTGAGGATCGCGGTTCAAAGCCAGCCCGGGCAGGA